GAGAGAGAGAGAGAGAGAGAGAGAGAGAGAGAAGCAGACAGAAAGACAGAGAGAAAGAGACAGAGGGACAGAAAGACAGAGACACAGAGACAGAGAGACAGAGAGAGAGAGAGACAGAGAGACAGAGAGAGACAGAGGGAGAGACAGAGAGACAGAGAAGGTTAAAGCTTTTCAGCCTGCTGTCCCAAAGAGAAACAGAGACAGGAAGTGGCCTATTTGCAGGGGGCGGGATAGACCTCCCAGGTTTATGACTGGTCATGCACAGAGGCCGGAGTTTGCAGCAGGGCACCTGATTAATTGATGAGCTTGGCCGGTCGTTGACAATACGTGCATATCCTGTCGGCTAATTGTGTCATCCATAGACGCCGGTGTCTGCTCTATCTGTTAGCCTGATTCGGATCTCTCTCTGTCTGTCTCTCTCTATCTCTGTCTCTGTCTGTCTCTCTCTATCTCTGTCTGTCTCTCTCTCTCTCGATCTCTGTCTCTCTTCCCCCTCTCTCTTTCTTTCACTCTCTCTTTCTCTATCTCTCGTTATCTCCCTCTCTAAGTCATTCTATCGTTGTCTCTATTCTCTGAATATTATTTTTCTGTCTCTCTTTCATTAAAAAAAATTATATTTGTCTCCCACGGTCTTTCTAAATCTTTTTATCTCTCCCTCCCGTCCCCCCACCTGCCTCTCTCTCTCTCTCTCTCTCTCTCTCTCTCTCTCTCTCTCTCTCTCTCTCTCTCTCTCTCTCTCTCTCTCCTCTCTCTTTCTCTCCCTCACTAGGGTTGCTCTAGGAGGAGTAGGCATAGTAACAGGGACATCTTAAAGTACAAGTCAATTAGGGGCATATCGATACGGTAGCAGTCAATTTGTTTGGTTTTGGTTTTTCTGTCCTCATACTCAACAAGGTATCGAGGGGAAGGTAATAATTGTCGGACGAAGGTCAGCCAATTAGTGCATGGGGAACATTACGTGGACGAAGATGGTGTAAGAGAGAGTTAGGAAATAGGTACGACATATTATTGTGGACACCCTACAACTACCAATAGTTAAGTACTGGCGTCTTCCACAGTTTCAGCTGTGGTTATAGACTTGACTTATAAATTCCTTGACCGTGCACTGCAAAACTTCGCTTCGAAATACTTCACACAAAAACCCCCCAACAAAAACACACAAAAACAACAACCTTCCTTCATTTGGTTTCAAATTAAGACAAATGGCGCCCTTAATAGAGAATCAAAACCACATCAGAGTGCACAGTCTAGGAAACTATAATACAAACACAAGCTGGCGTACACAAACAACACAGAAGCTGCATAATTTAAATGTATTCCTGAATTTTTATTTTATTTTAAACGAATCTTGAACAGCTTCTAAAAGAGCACGACCCATCTGCCCCAATTCTTCCTCAAAGCAAGGTAATCCATGAAATGATCATGTAATTGTAGATGTTCTACGTCATCTTTAACACAATTTATTCGACCTGCTAGTCGAGGTAACCATAGAGTTCTGAGAGGGACATCATGACCCAGCAGACAGACGGAGAAACTCGATTAAAATCTCTCGCCACACCCAAATAGAACTCTCATCATCTTCATGCAACAGAGAAGCATCACGGCTACACTACGGAGGTTCTGGCTGCCGGGGGTTTAATTGCCTATCCATGAATGTCTCAACCCTATCCGTACGCCCTGGGGTCATTTTGTACTCCCGGGGTTGTATTCTTCACATTTTAGAATGCTTCTAGTACGAAGATCTCTTTCAGTATTTCTCAAAAAATTGTTTTGACAGACTGCTGTGCAAAGCGTACTGATCGGATTGACGAGTAAATGTCCTCTTTGGAAAGTGGTGGCACAGAGTTCCCCTAGTCTTATGGATACGATCGTAAAACACGACGATAGGGTTACGCATTGTAAGTCAAGTTGTCATGAAGCAAAAATACATGTATCAGTATAGGAACTATACTGTTGTGAATCACTGCAGTTCAAAGGCTTACACCGTCGTCTGTGGTGTAGCGGCAAGGTACTTAGCCGTTGCATGCAAAAGATTAGAGTTTGATTCCCGTGTGGACGTAATTTTACCGAGTATCTCGCTCTCTTTGATTGGATGGTTGTATCACTCTTGGCCTGAGTTAGCTCTGACAGGCAGCCTCGAAGTCCTCTAATCTAACGAATATCAATGGAGGTGTGAAACACTCATATTGAACCCCCCCCAAAAAAAACAAACAAAAACAACCACAACAACAACCTTAACCCCAAAACAAAACAAAAAACCCAAAACTAACAATTAAGGCTCCCACACTGCTGTACGCCATGTAAAAAGGCCTCTTCTTTCAGAATATCATGTCCCTATCTATTACCAGAACATTCGTACAACTAGATACTTGAACAGAGGAGAAAAGCAAGCATTTCCTGCCTCGAAAAACCTCTAACAGAGCACAAAACTATGTTGTGGAAAGCCTCAGACCTTACCACTAGACTAAAATTAACGAACAGTTTCAAGTTGGAAAAGAAAGAACCGCCCCCCCCCCCCAACAATAGCACTGCATTACTGTGTGCAATGATAAAATAACAGCAATAACTGCAACGGCTCAACAAATCCTGGTAGAAATGGTAAACTGGTATAGGTTTAACGCCCCTATCAACTATATTAGGTTATTTAAGTGGCGGGACCTCCGAGTTTAACGTACTTCTCCGAAAGGACCGACCCAAGTGGGAAATTTGTGTGAAGAGCCTTTCCCAAGGACACAGTGTCGGACCGAACTGAGGCTCGAACCCCCGAACCAGCAATCTCACGATTACGAGTCCACTAACCACTAGGCCACCGACGCCACAAATCCTGGTAGTAAGTATAGAGAAGATCTTTGGAAGAGCTTTATTACACAATAATTATGTACCGAAGCGGTGTCAAAAGGGGCAGCCATGAAGGAATCAACCTAGTTTACAACCTCGATTAACTGGACAAGGACAGGCTACAATAATCATTCTGCTGAGAAATAAAATATGAAGTGGGGAAATTGCTTTCCGAATTGAATGAAATCCAAGAAAATTCCGGACTTGCAGAAATGCGTGAAAACAAGCCTTTTGCCCCTATCTTAGTTAAGCTTGACCCTGGCAGTGGTTTCGATTCCAACAAATTATGTTCGTAAGAGTAAAAATAAAAGGACATTAAAGCGCTTTTTGGCGAAATTAGTTTTAGGCCATTTCTAATACAAGCACCCAACCCCCTCCTGACCTTCCCATCAATTCTTTTTTTGTCAAGACAATGAGTCCAACACAAAATAAGACAAAACAAAACAAAAAACAACAAAAACTTAAAGGGCAAACGAATTCAGACCCCATACAGATTTTAAACTGTACCTTAAATAACCTTTTGTGTGTGATACTTAAAATATTTTGATAGATTTGATACGATTTTGACAGAGAGGACTGAACATTTGGCTTCTGACATCATTGTCCTAGTAACTCAAAGCGGCAAAAAAATGTCTGATAAAACTTTGTAATTCTAATGCGGTGTTCACACATACAGGAGTAATGAAGCCGAGTAAGACAAAATTTCTATGTCCAGCAGGTCGGAGCTACTCTGGATACATTTCGCCAAGCAATTGAGAATTTTTCGATGATGCCACTTCTTCACTTTAAGGAAGCATCAAACAACAATTCAGTTAAAAACTAAAATTTTGAACCGTATCTATCCTCAAAATACCATTTTAATCAAAGAAATCAAACGAGCACTTTGATGCCAGTGCGCCTTAACACGATACTTTGAAATAAGAAAATATCGTTCACAAGATTACGGAATTCTGAAAAATAACAACAAAGTCTTCTATCCCATTCACCCAAGACGTAAAATATTAAATTAAAAAGTTATGAAATTGTTCAGTGCAAGATCAAAATAATAGTAGAGTATATTTACACTTTTTTCCGGACACAATGTTAACAAACATCTTCCCCTGACCCTCAAGAAATGTGATTTCAATATGGATGGTTTTATACACCTACATCCCCCTTCTTTCCTCCTCCCCCTCCCACCCCCAAATTGACACAGTTCAGATCTTCTAGGAGGCGGGCTTCGATTCTGCCAGTCAAGGCCAATCTGGGTTGAAAGGAAAACAACGTCTTCTAATTTAAAAAAACAAACAAAAAACTGATCAAGTTCTCCTACACAGGAATCGAATTCGGGTATTCTGCATGAGACGGCGAAGCGCTTAACCGCTATACCACAGACACAGTTAAAGTGAATTTATTTTTATTGAAGAAAAGAAAAACGAAAAATGTAGAGGAACATCTTTTTCGAGATATATAATATTATTAATATGCTTAATTTTTTAAATATATTAATATATATTAACATAGATATCTATCTATCTATCTATCTATCTATCTATCTATCTATCTATCTATCTATCTATATTGTATATATATTATATAATATATGAACAAATTATTTTAATTGGGCGAAGTTACCTGCACGTTCCCCACTCTACTTGTGGCGGGAGGTATTCGAGGGACTGCTGGTGAGGTGGATTCGAGTTGGTGAGAAGGAATCGGAAGATAACTGTGCAGCAGTCACGTATCCCGAGGTCATGTCCTGCAGAGTAACAGTTATAAGTTAGATGTTATCACGATGTTATCACGAGGTTATCACTACAACGGTCATCTGTAGAGGTATAAGTTAGATGTTATCACGATGTTATCACTACAATGCTCATCTGTAGAGTTGTAGGTTAGACGTTATCACAATGTTATCACTACACTACCGTACGCTGACAAAAAGCCTTTTTCTTATTCTCGGCAGTTTCGAGAAATCGGCGATTATCGGTTTTCTTCTAATATCTAAACTATTTTGCACAGTAAGCTACATCAACAGTTGATCTTGCACCCTGAAGAGAAGGTAATTCCCCGCGTTCAACAGATATAATAAGAAAACAGAAAATTGCCGACAATTCGAAACTGCTGTGAATAATAAAAAGGCGTTTTGTCAGCGTAAGACACTACAATGCTCATCTGAGGTTATTTCAAAATAATAAAATCAAAGAAACAGACATTTTTCTGCCCGTTTGGAACCATTCTTATTAGTTTTTCTTGGCTCAATCAATACTGTTTATGTGTCTATTAAAAAAATATTTCTGTGTAGATCTTACTAAAACAAAACAAAAAAAAGTTGATGAAAGGGAAGAATAAATGAAAATTTGATGTACAGTAGGAATCTCTAGCTTTTGAAGTCACCTATTTTTGATGGCCATGTTCGCGCCAATTTTACCTCTGAAATCAAGCAGTGTTGCATTAGGCTGCGTGCGAACATAATGCAGCACTCACTCGCTGATATTGGTGAGTTTACTAAAAATAGCTCCAAAATGTTCTTCAAAATGACAAAGAAATGGTTGTGATTTTCACTTTAACTTGGGTGATTAAGACGCAATCGGTATCTATAATGGTCAATAAAGCACATTTCATGGCAAAATACAGCGTTTTGATTAGCAGCAACGAACCTTAGCCCCATTAAAAATACATGTTTGATTCAAGCCCCCTGCAGCCCTTTCAACTCAGACCCCCCTCCCCCCCCCCCCACACACATACTTACCACCCCTGTTCCCGTAGAATTATATTTCATTTGAAAAAGGAAACATGACTTATAAAAGAATTCCCGGATCACACGCAGTGACAGAGTTTGCACTTTCTTTGAAATAAAACAATTCCGTGCGAAGCTTAGAGAAATCAAAATAATGCTAACTGCCCCTGGCGTTTAACTTTCCTTGCTGAACATTTTTTTAAAATCACGCAAGCCCATCCACAACTTAAGACAACTGAATGAGTTTCGCAATAATTTTCTACACTTTAAAAAGAAATTGAACTTAAAATCATTACAGATTTTTGAAATTCTTTCCTCCTTTCTTTGCCGTTAAAAACTTTACAGTATCGTTTTTCTTTGTATTTATTTTTAGGAGGAGCAGGATGGGGGGGGGGTTGGATACATTTCGCCAAGCAATTGAGAATTTTTCGATGATGCCACTTCTTCACTTTAAGGAAGCATCAAACAACAATTCAGTTAAAAACTAAAATTTTGAACCGTATCTATCCTCAAAATACCATTTTAATCAAAGAAATCAAACGAGCACTTTGATGCCAGTGCGCCTTAACACGATACTTTGAAATAAGAAAATATCGTTCACAAGATTACGGAATTCTGAAAAATAACAACAAAGTCTTCTATCCCATTCACCCAAGACGTAAAATATTAAATTAAAAAGTTATGAAATTGTTCAGTGCAAGATCAAAATAATAGTAGAGTATATTTACACTTTTTTCCGGACACAATGTTAACAAACATCTTCCCCTGACCCTCAAGAAATGTGATTTCAATATGGATGGTTTTATACACCTACATCCCCCTTCTTTCCTCCTCCCCCTCCCACCCCCAAATTGACACAGTTCAGATCTTCTAGGAGGCGGGCTTCGATTCTGCCAGTCAAGGCCAATCTGGGTTGAAAGGAAAACAACGTCTTCTAATTTAAAAAAACAAACAAAAAACTGATCAAGTTCTCCTACACAGGAATCGAATTCGGGTATTCTGCATGAGACGGCGAAGCGCTTAACCGCTATACCACAGACACAGTTAAAGTGAATTTATTTTTATTGAAGAAAAGAAAAACGAAAAATGTAGAGGAACATCTTTTTCGAGATATATAATATTATTAA